CCCTCCCCCGTTTGGGATCTCCGTGGGTACTCCGGCATCCACTGTGACCCTCTCCCGCCTCTCCCTGCGGTCTCCCTACCGCGAACCCCACCACCTCTGGCGCCCTGGCGTTTTCCCTCCGCTCTCTTCACTGCCCGGGCACAACATCCTGGCTCCGAGCCTTCCGCGCTCGTATCCTGCTTGCCCCCGTGGTCCTGGGGGACTTCTCATGCATTGCAAACCTCTTCCCTCTTGACTCCTATTTTCTAAGCCCCTTGCCTGAAAACGTGTGCATGCAAACCATTATTAATTGTATCAGGGGGTTGAGTCTGGTTTGCTTGTTTTGTGGTGTTTGGGGTTTTTTGCCAGTGTCCCAGGATCAGATTGAAACTCTTCGGACACTGATTTAAATGACCCCTTTTCTTTGCTAGTGTACTGGCAGTACCTCCCCCTACTCCCCCAGTGCGCCTACTGTTCATATACCACCGATTTACTGTTCATATGCCACTGATTTAACATGGTACTTCACATTTTGCTTAACCCAGTATGTTCTGTAATTCCATGTGTTGTTCTCGCAGATCTTAATTTTATACTGCGTTTTGTGGCACTTTGGGTTTTTTCCCCTTACGTGCTAGAATTTCATACTGCTTGGTATTTTTTGCAGCCATTTTCCCCATATTTTTTCATTATTTCTTGACTCCTATTTTTTCCTTCCTGATCTCTCCTGCTCTTCTTACTATTGTACCCATTTTCTCTGGGGTTCATCAGTCTCTGGGATTCTCGTTGAGTTGGGAAAGATGTGAATAACTTTAACCCAGAACTTAGGTCCTGATTCTTCTGTTCTGTGACCTCCAGGCTTGTGACATGGCCACAGATGTAGCTGAGCCTGTGGTCCCTGACTGCAGAGGAGATGTAAGGAGCGGTGCCAGGTCAGATGCTGACTATCCTCTTCGGGTTCTCTACTGTGGAGGCAAGTGCTGAAGGGGCAGTTGTCCATGATTCTTATAATGTGCTGTTTGTGCGGGCAGCCTAGCAGAAAGAATGAGAGAAGCGGAGATTTTCTTTTGGTCAGCTTTTATTGAGAAGCTAGACCATGGTCAGCTTGACCTTTCTGATCGTCTCTGAAATAGCTTGCGTTGTGTATGTTATCTGAAGCATTTTTGGTGAAATGTAGGGGTCTTCCATCTGAGAGATGGAGATACTAACGGCTTTCTGTGTGTAAAAGTTGCATTAGTGGGAGTGGTGCTCAGACTGTGAACCGTTGAGCAGAGATCTCTTCCTGCAAAAAGCCATTAAAGCCTTTAGCACAGAAAAGGCCTCTGAGCATTGGTATGACAATAAGAACTAAAGTTAGAATTAATGAAATTATTCTTTACTCATTACATTTGTAGTTATATGGATGAAATGTAAAGGGAAATAAATAATCCTGACAGGTATGTTTTTTAGATAGGTATGTTATTTTGCTTTGGGCTTGAATACGGTTGCAGGGGATTAGGAAAGAATCTCTGTTGTGCGTGAAAGTCGGCACAATTGGTCTGGGTTTGTTCTGGGGCTGAGCCCCTCTTTTGGACACTGGCAGCTCTTGGGAAAAGGAGAGCTAACCAAATCACGTGGTAATTTACTGGGTATATCTTTTGCCTCTGGTAGAACTAATGTTTCTTTCTGTAACCTTTCCCAAAGCTGTAGGCATCTCCTTCCCTTCCTTCATTGACTGACTGCTCTTGCTGTGATGGTTTTTTCCTAATGCAGGGCGTGTGAGCAAATGACTAATGAGAGAAAGATTAAAATGTGGAGTGGTATCAATAAAGTAATCTTTTTGAGTCAATGTGTGATTATAACCGGAAGTTATGACGTAAGAAGTCATCTCTAACTTTAAAATACCATTTTGAATTCGACGCTAAGGCTGTAAGTGGAGAACTTCTTTTTGTAATGTGTTCTTTTTTTTTTTCCCCCCCTTCCCTTCTTTCTCCAGTCTGTTCACTGCCAACAGAGGTGAGTTAATTTTTTTTGTTGTCAGAGTTTCTTCCTCTGTCCTATGATTCCTGACTACAATGATTCTTTCTGATCTTTTCTGGCTTTTCGTAATTGTGGCAATTCTGGGCTTCAGCCACTGTCATCTTTAGGATGACACGAGGTTTCTTATGCGCTAGTATAGTATTGGTATTCAGTCATCTTAGGGAGAAATGGCTGGGCTGAATTGCAGATGTATTTTGGTGTATTTGTTTGTGACATATTTTGTAGTTACTCTGCTAACAACATTCACATGACCTTTCTTCTCCAGTACTGCGAATACATGCCTGATGTGACTAAATGCAGACAATGGTTAGAAAAGAATTTTCCAGATGAGTTTGCAAAACTTACAGTAGGTAAGAATCTTTTCTATTTTCTAACTGATATGTGCCCTTAGACATATTCAGGAATCTTTGAGCTTGTCCAGGTCTCATCTCTTCCCTTTTCCCGCTGTATCAAGTGTGAAAGTTAATCAATTTCTTAGGAGTCTGCCATGCTTTTGGATGCTGTGGAAAATATGTTTGATAATGTCAGAAAACACTGAATAAACAATGTGTAGTTTCAGTAATAATGTTTGAGCTTTCTTAAGGTTCCTGCTGTAACCAGTCATCCATGCACTTGTTTCCCATTGAAGTTAGTTTATCGGATTTTATGTCTGTCCAGTCTACTGTGGATGGCTGGAGGAAAGGTCATTAATAGGAGGGAACTTGTTCATTTGCATTTGGGATTTCAATATTAACCCTATCATTAATTTTTGTCTCTCTGTGGAAATTATGTGAAGAGATTGTATTGAAACTGTAACTGTATCTTTGAGCGAAGGCTTCTCTGAAGTCTGGTCTGCGTAAGTACTATAACGAAGTTGTAACACGCATCAGTCAAGGGGCTGCTGCACTTAAGCAAAGAGTCTACGGATTTAGCAAAATATCACTGTACCTTACTTCCTGTTCCTGTAAGGCTGTGGTTGTCTGACCACTAAATTTGTTCTCTCTCTTCTCCCCGCTCCTTTCTGATGTATTTAAGAAAATTCACCTAAACAGGAAGCTGGGGTTGGAGAAGGCCAAGGAACTGCGGGAGAAGAAGAAGAGAAGAAGAAGCAAAAGAGAGGCAAGGTCTAAATAGTTGATTGTGGTACTGATTTATAAGCAGTTTGGGGCGTCCCTTTCTCACCTGCTGGTCTGGGCTATGGCACGGATTCCTTGCATTTTGGTTGTTAGCTACACTTCGGCTCTGCACAAGAGATACACATATCTTTCTTCCAGTGGCAGCAGAGTTAGTGCAGTGATACATGCTGATGAAAGAATTGGATGGTAGTAATAGCAAGTGAAAGATGACCTGCATCATGTGTCTCACTGTTCCTGTCATTGCTATTGCCCTTATTCAGGGAGTAATTCTTCTCAGCCTAAAATGAGCTGGCACGCCTCCCAGAATACTTGTTTCTGCCCTGTTTAACAGCAGTTTGTAGGTTGCTTGCGGAGCAGAACAAAGCCTGCTTTCCTCTATTAATGCCTCATGACACTGCTTTTGCCTTTTTTCCTTCCACCCCTCCGCTGTGTTCATGTAACAGGATTTGGTTTTATGCTTTTAGTACTATCACCTATGTCTCCATTAACACTATGTCTCTTCCCAGCAATACTAATGAAAAACATTTTCAAAAACCAACTTTGGAAGATATAAAATATATGAAACAATTTAAACACACTTTTATCTTCTATTGTTGGAGTTCTTTCTGTTTAATTAACATACTTTCCAGCATAAATCAGAATGCTGGGGTTGTTAACATGCATTTGCCTGTGGAGTGTCAGTTGTGTCTGTAGTGTTTCAGAAATTATGGTCAATAGACCAGTAAGATTCAGATTTTAAGCCACATATCGCTGCAGATGTCTTATTTTTGTGTCTTGGTAACCAGTTATGTTTACCTTGTCAGTAGGCTATGTGTAGTGACAACAGTAACTTAGGTTCTGTAGCTTGGATGCTTTTCCCAGAGACTTCAGGACATTTTCTTTCAACGTGAATTTATTGTGTGGGGTGGTATGGTTAGCTTTCAGTCTGGTTTTTGGTTCTAAAATAATAGTGTTTAAAATATTTAGGGATTTTCTCCTAGAATCTAAAGTTTCATGAAAACTTATGGTATGGTGTTAAGTATGATGGTATAAGATTGACCGTAAGAGAGAGGGTGAGGAAAAACTTACTAAGACGCTGCAGAAACTTACTGAAGAAATTTTAAGACAGAAATCTACTGTCTTAAATTACTGGATATCGATTTATAGTAATGTAGAATTGAAAGTACTGCATGTTAGAAAAAGTAGTCACAAGGGGTTAGTTCGCTTGTCGTGAATTCTTTAGGTTTTCATGCTGAGAAGGCTCGAGAATGTGAAACTTCGGTTACCCTGGAGTGACTTGATGACGGTATACAAAGTGAACAGAGATCTTAATCTGACTTGAAGAATCCTAATGAGTGGAATATACCTTTTGCATCCTTTACTCCGACTAATAAATGCCTGATATGTGAAGTGTTCCCTCAGGTTGGCCCAGAAACAGACAGTAAGAAAGGAGATGTTAAATCATGTGGAAGTTTGGTAGTCAACTACTGTAGCTGGCTTCTGTTTCAGAGGGGGGTGTTTGCTGCTAGCTCATAGATAGATATATGGTTCATACTGGGGTCGTGCATGGATATCTAGAACTTAGTCTGCTGTTTAACCCAGCAGCCTGAGTAGGCACGTCCTCATGGCCTCAGTAAATGGACGTGAGTAAGTTGCTTTGCCTCGGTCACAAACCCTAAAGAAGTTAAACTCATGAAAAACATTAAAGTAACAGTTTGTTCCTAGGATTACAACCAAAGAACAATTCCTGAAAGAGGGGTTAAATGTAGACCAAATGCAGTGATTAGTAAAGTGTGGGGAAAAACCCTTTTTTGATAATTGTAGCAGGGTTCTGCTGGGCAAGCTGTACTTGAAGGTACATTTGACATGCACATATTGTTATTTCTTGTAATATTGAGCTTTGACATGGGACCTTTCTTCAATAATAATAAAAAAAACTGAATGTGAGACAATGTGCAAAATACTTTTTTTTTTTTACCAACACAGATGGGGAGATAACAGTTTCTTTGTTTATAGAGATGAAATCTGACCTTATATGATTTTTCTTTAAGTGTGACATCATTTAACTAATTATGTGACCTTATACTCTGTTTTAAAGGTGGAAGAGGTCAGATAAAACAGAAAAAGAAGACTGTACCACAGAAAGTTACAATAGCTAAAATTCCTAGAGCAAAGAAAAAATATGTCACAAGAGTATGTGGCCTTGCGACGTTTGGTGAGTTGACTTTTTTGTTCTGTGGGTTTTGTTGGTTTCACATGTGCTTGCCTTTAACCTCATGTTTCTTCTGGTTGTATTACATTGAGCGATCTGCTTCCATCTGTGCGAGGTGAAAGTCCCAAGGTGCTTTTAGCAGTTCCAAAGCATGCCAAAGGTACACTGACTTCCCTCAGTCAGAAATTACTAAAGTCCTTATTTCCACGGTGTTTGCAAACAAACAGGGTTACAGGTTTTTTTGCAACAGGGCTTCCCATAGCAGTCCCCTTGTTAGACTTCAGAGTGGTCTATTGTCTTTAATTATAAACATGTTTAATTTCAAAAAGTTTCTTATTTCCATCAAACCTGTAAATACGTTATTGACAATTTTACCTATTCTTGAGACTGATTAAGTAAGGCTTCCGCTGCCTTTCAGTAAGGCAGTCAAATTATTACCAAAGTGCACTAACAATGCTGTCCTGCATAGCTTTGGTTCAGCTGCAAACAGCCACTTGGTGTTTATAACAACATCTTACTTCACACATTGACCACGAATTCTGTTAAAAAGGTAAGTTTTAACCTTGGTTGTATTAACGAGATACGTTACCTATTTCCTGCGTGAGAGTATCATCAGTTTTCTTGAGGGATCAGTAATATGCACTAGCTTGATCTGAACTGGATGTGTATCTTTGTGCTGGAAGCCAGTCTCAAAAATCGTTGGGACATGTTTCCGAAAAGAACATACTGAAGCACTTCTATGGAAAAACTTGTTCAATAACTGTGGAAGTTACTCAGAACCGGAGGTGCTATTTAAACAGTTCTGCGTGTGCTTTTCTGGTGAGTGCGTGTAGGGTAGACCTGTGGAAACGGAATGTGTAGAGGATATTCAGTGGTTTTTACCTTGAAGAGTTTGATAGATTTGTAGTCAGTTGTTTTGTATGTAAACAGCAGACTTTTGCTTTCTGTAGCAAAGCTTTAACTGTAAACTGTCACTAGTTTTTCAACAGCTAAAACAAGATTTTGGTTTTAAACTTGAGAAAATACTTCTATGACAATGACTGTACTTAAACTCTCCATTTTCCTGTCACCAGAAATTGATCTTAAGGAAGCACAAAGGTTTTTTGCTCAGAAATTTTCCTGCGGTGCCTCAGTAACAGGAGAAGATGAAATCATCATTCAGGGGGATTTTACAGATGACATTATCGATGTAATCCAGGAGAAGTGGCCTGAGGTAATAAACCCTTTCTTCTGTCAGAACTCTCGTTTTCCATGATAGCCTGTGACTTTCCGGTGATTTTGAAAAAGGGTTTCATCTTCCGCGGCACAGATTGTTGTGCAAAAATAAAAGACCAGTTGTCGCATTCCCACCTATGAATGACTAGATTAAGGAGTGATTAAACTTGAAGTCAAATGTTTCTTGGACAATGGAAGCAACGTGAACTCCCTAAACATGTAGTGCTGTTACTGCGGATACTACAGTGAGGAAGGCATGTCGGAATAAGTCCAGCTGTCAAATACCCGTGGCTTCTTTGTGACTGTTTCTTAACGGTGAATGCCTAGTATTCTTACATTGCCATCCTATTTTTCAAAATCTCTTAAAATATTACAAAATTAAAAAAACAAACAAAAAACAAAACCACACACTTGTGCTTCAGAAGAAGAGATTAACTAATTTTGGGTTGGACTGAAATGTCGACGGTTGAGAGGTTTGGTTGCGCTGCTGTAATCGCAAGCGCTTTCTTTGACTCTCCCTTGTTCTGGTTATCTCCCGATTGTGTTCTTTCTGAAATAACTGTAGGCCTGTCTTTATTCAGAGCCCCATAGATTCAGCTGTGTCCTATAGGCACATGTCACTCGCATAGAATTTACATCAGGGAATCTCGGATGGTGCCGTATACTTCTCCCACACTTCATTACATGTACAGTGGTGAATACTGAGTGAGACACGTAAGAAGAAAATATACTTAATATGCTGTGTTTTGGCCTTTTTTTTGTCCTAGGTGGATGATGATAGCATTGAAGATCTTGGAGAAGTCAAGAAGTGAGAGTGAAAGACTACCTTTATTTAATTATATGGTTATAAATGATGTAGCCAAAGTGAGGCTTCTAAATCCACTTGCTCTGCAGTGAAACTGTGGAGAACCCGTATCCTTGGCATTTTCACTGTTCTGTATAGGCTGCTTGGTTTTTTTGTTGTGATATTTGCCAAAGTTAAATTGGGGTTCTATCATGCTTATGCATGAAGTAGATTTAAATAAAATTACTGTTCCTCACCGAATACAGTTTGTTTTCTTTACAGCTACTTTCCTCTAACAATCTTACAGGAAAATAATAATTTAAGTCATTAAAAGCTTATTTTTCATCTGCTGTCCTTTCTGCTGAACTTAAGTGAACAAGGCACGTGGCTAATGTACAGAAACTCGTACCTCTGATTTCCCTGCATAAAATCTTAGAATGGGGCAAACATTCTAAAGGTTTGTTAACAATTAAAGGAAAATGAATCCTGAAGTGGTCAGGCAGTTGGACTAGATGATCGTTGTAGGTCCCTTCCAACTGAACTATTGTATTCTATTAAGTGGAAACACTGAGGAACATGTGAAGATGTCCGAAACGTTTAGCCTGTTTTCATAATTCCAAACGAACTCCTAACCCTGCCGGTCTTCTAGGTGGGGCCATTTTAGTGGCTTTGTGCTTTTAGCATACTGCTCGTTCAAGAATGGTAGTAATTTACACAACTTTATAGTGACCGCTGTTTGTTTCCACGAACTGTGTTCGCGCAGCAGGTAAGGTGGGGTGCCAGCTGTGCCGCTCTGCTCGCCGTACTCCTTGCAGACAGCCTCAAGCATCGACTTGGTGCTTTGTATTTCACTGCTCCGTCTAATAACATTAAATGCTCCCTGGCGGCAGAGTCCTGGAACTGACATTCTCCTGTCACTGTAAAACCTAGATGAGGTCAAGCCCAAGGGGGTGACGCATCGTGCACCCTGTCCTCTACCAGTAAAGTTCTTTTTTTTTTTTCTGTGATTTTTTGTTTATGAGCTGATGGGTTTAGTTGAGAATGGTGTCTCTAACAGGGTAACTATCACTGTAGTTGTTCCATTTGAAAGCCGAGCAGGGCAGTTACCTCCGTCCTGTAACATCCAGTCGGGTTCTTACTCGTCTCGTCTCGTATTAACAACATTTTTATTAATTCTCACGTTTTTCCGGGCAGCTCCAGCC